CCCCCAAAACCAACCCCCCCCCCCCCCAAATCCCCCTTTTTTCCCCCTCCCTGTTCCCACGGGGGGCCCCGGGGGGGGGGGGTCGCTCCCTGCTGACCCCTCCCCTGGGACCCCCCCCCAGGATCCATCCTTGTTTTCCTTGGATTTCCGGGAATAAATGGATGGGAAAAGTCCGGGATGAGCGAACAAAGGGAGCGGGGGGGCACAGCCCTTGTCCCCCCCTCCCCGGGAATCTGGGATGGGGAAAAGGAATTTGGGAATTTGGGGGGGTAAGGATGGAAATTTGGGGGGAGAAAGATGGGAATTTGGGGGGGGGAAGGATGGGAATTTTGGGGAGGGAAAGGATGGGAATTTTGGGGGGAAAGGATGGGAGAAATGGGATCTGGGGATGGGGAATGAGGAATGAGGGGAAAGGACGGGAATTCGGGAGAGAATTGGATGAGGAAAATGGGATGTGGGAGTGGGAAGGAACAGAACCGGGGATGGGGAATCAGGGAATGGGAAAAAGGATGGGAATGGGGGGATTGGAGGGAGAAAATGGGAATGGGGCTGCTGGGGTGGATGAATCAGGGCTGGGAATTTGGGAGGGAATTGGATGGGAGAAATGGGATGTGAGGATGGAACTGGAAAATCAGGGATGGGAACTGGGGGGGGTTGGATGGAGAAAATGGGAATGTGGGGATTGGATGGGAGGAACTGGAAAATCGGGGATGGGAACAGGGAGGGGATTGGATGGGGGAAATGGGGTGTGGGGATTTGGGATGGAGCAGAACCGGGAATGGGAAATCACCGATAAATCGAACCCGGATGGGAACCTGAAATTACCCAAAGCAAACCAGCAAAAACCGCGATGGGCCAGAACAACAACCCCGAGGCTGAAAACCGGGGATGGAAACCGGGAATGAAAACCGGGAATGAAAACCGGGGATGAAAACAGGGGGGCAAAAACCGGGAATGAAAACCGGGGATGAAAACAGGGGATGGAAAACAGGGGGGCAAAAACCGGGGATGAAAACAAGGGGGCAAAAACCGGGAGGTGAAATCGGGGTGTGCAATCCAGGGGATGAAAACCGGGAATGAAAACCGGGGGATGAAATCCAAGGAGGAAAACCGGGGGTGCAAACCGGGGAATGAAATCCGGGAGATGAAAACCGGGGATGAAAACTAGGGGTGAAATCCGAGGGATGAAACCCAGGGGGTGAAATCTGAGAGATGAAATCTTGGGATGAAAACCGGGGGGTGAATTCCAGGAGGTGCAAACCAGGGGATGAGAACCGGGGGGTGAAATCCGGGGGGTGAAATCCGAGGGGCGAAATCCCGGGATGAAATCCGGGGGGTGAAATCCGGC